GAATGCTCTTTCCCCTGTCCCATGCTGCCTCCACTAGAACGGTTTATGGAGTAGGGAGTATAGCTGTCGGATCCTGCCTCTCCCCGCCAGTTCGGATTTTAAGGTCTTCCAAGGTAGAAGCCGTGTTAATTCATCTCTGAAAACCCTCAGCCCTCAGCCCTTCCACCCCCAGGACACTGGCGCGCAGCTCAGAGCAGCGGACTGGGCATCCTGCAAGGTCTACCGAATGAATGAATGAACGAGTAAATGACAGGATGGACGAATTCGAGTCCTCACTGTGCCATCTCCGGTAAGCTGCCGGTCACCCCGGGCCTCGGTTTCCCCAAATGCTCTGCTCAGGAGACGAGGCCCACCAGAGCAATCGCAAGTGCGCAGCTTCTCCGGGCGGGGCTAGACGGGCCGAACCACGGCGCTCCCCAGGCGAGGGGGTGGGGTGTCAGGGGCGGAGCTAGGGCTCCCTCGCCGCGGGGCCATTGGCCGCGCCCGCCGCCACCCGGCAGTAGTTGCGGAGGTCAGCCCCGCCCCCTTTCTCTTTCCTTGGCCTCTTTCCGGCGGCGGCAGCGGCGGATTGTGCAGACATGGTGAGGGAGCTGGAATCGGGTGCCATCCGCGCGCTGTGGGGCTCGGGGCCAGGGGTGGGGAGCTCGAGGTGAGCGCTGGGGTCCCATCTGCCAGTCGGGCCTGTAAGGCGCCGTGCGGAGTGGCCTCGCGCCGCCACCGCAGGTCTCCCGCCCTCTCCCCTGCTGGTTTGGGCCCGGAGAGCTGAGCCCGCGCTGCCGGCGCCTCCGTCTTCCCGTCTGCGGAATGGGGGTAGCGGCTCAGCCTCGTGGCGGACCTGGAAGAAGGCGGGCCCGCCGGGGCCTCGGTTACCCTGCCCCAGGCACGGCCTAGGCGAGGAAAGCTGGGCCCCCAGCGCGCCCTCCTGGGGCTGGCCACGCCGCGGGTGGAGGGGAGGATGGCCGCTGGGCGGGGGGAGGCAGCCCTGCCGGCTGTTTGACCCCGACCTGTGCTTGCGCTCAGGCCAAGATTAAGGCTCGAGACCTTCGCGGCAAGAAGAAAGAGGAGCTGCTTAAACAGCTGGAAGACCTGAAGGTGGAGCTGTCCCAGCTGCGCGTCGCCAAAGTGACAGGCGGCGCGGCTTCCAAGCTCTCCAAGATGTGAGTGAGGGGCGGCCGAACCCCGGTTCTCTGGTGTGGGGGACACCTGTGCTTCGGAAGCATTTGTGGGTTTTCGAAGTTGGCTGAAGGAAGCGTTGGGTTAAGTGATCATGTAACGGACCCGTGGGTTGGAGTGTCATGCGCGTCCTGACCCAGCTTCCCTGGGCTCCCCGTACTTGCACCCAGCCGCATGGGACACCCCCTGTGTGATTTTCCTCTTGTCCGCCTTGGACCATTTTGTCCTTTTGCCTCGAGTGCCCTTGCTCAGCTTCTCTCTGACCAGAGAAAGAACGGGTTGTCCCTCAAGACCCTTTTTCACACTGCCTTGAAAAGTCTAACTGGACCCTTTTTTACTACCTCCCACCAGCACTTGATTTTTTTTCCCCTCACTTGGTAGGTGGGTGCCTTTCGCCCCCCCCTCACTTGAGTTGTACTTAACTTACTGATTTACATGCATCGAGCGTCAGGACTTGTGCAGGGGACATGGGTTTGGAGTCCATTGAACTGGGCACACGTTCCTCTTTTGCCACATCCTACCTAATGGGTGTGCTGACTCACCACCCAGAAGTTTTGTTTTGTTTTGCTCTTCTCTAAAATGGGCCCCCAACAACCGACCTCTGTTGCGGGGTGGGGGTTGGATGAGTTGGGGAACACACAAGTTGCATGCCGAATCCTCAAGACCGTGTTTACCAGCTCTTCCCCCACCATGCCTGCTATTCAACATGACTCAAATCACTTATTCCCAGCCTGTTCCTAGGTTTATCCTTTCCCCCCATTGCCTTTCTACTTCTCAAACGTCTTGTTTCTCCCTCCCAAGTGACCCCTCCTGTGACTCCTTAATTTGGTTGCCCAGCTTGAGGCATGATTTCCCACAGTCCGCTCATTCAGGTTGGCATTGGTTAGGTCTTCCACAGCTCTGAGGCTATGGGATGGAAGATCTTTCCTAATCTACCCTCCACTTCTGCTCAGCTTCTCAGGAGCCCTTCCCTGTCCCTACTTGTGAGATGCCCACCTCCTAGAGTCTTTGGGCCTTACCCCCAAAACACTTGCCTCCTCGACTGGGTTAGGTATCCGCCTTGGGTGAATATGGATGAGCTGGTGGGGAATACCCCTGCCTTATAACATCTGGGTCAGGTCCTGAGTAAGATGCCTTTGAGGGGGTGGCAGCATTGTAGGGCTCCACCACCTTCACTGATGGCTGTCTGTTTTGCAGCCGAGTTGTTCGCAAATCCATCGCCCGTGTTCTCACAGTCATCAACCAGACGCAGAAAGAGAACCTCAGGAAATTCTACAAGGTGAGCCTGGGCTGGGGGAGTTAGGATGCTTGGCTACAGGGAGCAAAGTTCCAGCCCTCCCTTGGCCAGAAGGATAGTATAAAGAGCTGCTGGGGTGCATGGGACTGGGCTTTACAGAGCCTTCCCAACTTGTAGGTGGGTTTGCTTCTTAACCAGCATCTTACCACTAGCATGGCACGCAGACTGCATTTCCTCAGGGCTGCAGTTGTCTTTAAGAATGAAAGCAAAGATGATGTGGTATGTAGAAAGCTTATTGCAAGGTTCCTTTAATAAATACTTAATTTCTTAATCATAACTGATACCTTAATAGTTGAAAATATTAATCACTGAGGTTTTATTGTAGGAATCAATATAAACTTTTTTTTATGAAAACAAAGAATGATTTTAAGTGTAATTTTAAATGCTGTATAGCTTTCACATTTTAAACTCTTCAGAGGTTTTGCATATTTAATAGCCTTATATGAAACATGTGTGTTTGGAGTCATCTTTCCTAAATTCTTCATTTCCATTAAAAACATGTATTATGGCTAGCTTTTTAGCTTACAGATAAAACCACTCAGATTGATACATTTTGGAAATCAACAGTGTGGTGAGAGTCTGGCTGGAGCCCTGGGTTTTGAATTCATCCTCACCAGCTGAGCGAATTTGGGCCATCTGTGAGGATTAACTTTAAGTGTTTTAGTTGTCTTACCAGCACTATGTCAGTCACTTTCAAGCACCTGATACTCTCATTTTGCAAATGGGAACCTCAGGGTGTAGAGTGGTTAAATTGTCCAGAGTCACCAGTAAATGGAGTGATTGGGTCTACGTTCCAAACCATGCCTTGGGGAGGGGTGGATTGAGTGCTCCTGGGAGATTTCCACAGGTGTCTGGCCCCTTGGCCTAGGATTTTTACGACAATTTTTGTTCTTATCCTTAATACTGGTGTTATCAGGGCTTAAGTAGTGAAGCAGAACCAGTAAGAGATAATCTCTTAAAGTCAATTGATGAGGGGCTTTGAGTATATCGCAAAACGACTTCACATCAACATCCCAGTTAGTGTTTGAATAGCTGGAGGCTTTGACCTGTCAAAAAAGCCATCATGGTGGGCCTGGGCTGGCTGCCCCAGGGGACACTAGCATGTACTGTTGGGTGGGGGGTGCAGCCATCCCTGGATGTGTGTACATTTGTGTGTGGGAGCGTCTTTCTGAGAATTGGGCTTGAAACTCTTTGATCAGGCTCTGGGGGGACCATAGAGGTGGTCGTCAGGAAGAATTGTCTTCCAGTGAGTATAGCCCCTGCCAGGCACCAATGAGTCAGGGCCGCGAAGGTGAGGCCTCTGCCCTGTGGTCGTTCTGTCCGATAGACTTTCTCTAGTGCTCGAAGTGCTCTGCCTGCACCGTCCAGTACAGTGACTTCGGGCCGCATGTGGCTGTGGTGGCTGAAGGCCTGGGTTTTTAGTGGCGACCGCGTGTGTGGCTAGTGCCTCATCCGGCCGACAGCCGAGCTCTGAGCGCTTAGTTGGCCTGAAACGGACGAGGCCCTGGCTGGCCTGTGCTGTGGGTAACCGGGATGTGGGTGGGCGAAGACTCGTGCTTCCGAGCCCCCACCTTAGCGCTTACTCCCATCTGCACGGCTGGTTTCGGCAGCTCTCTGCCCTGACGCTGTTACCCCACTTAGCTCACCCCAGTCCTGTGCCTCCCTCTCTGAGCTGTTGGCAGTTTCCAGAAAGCACCTGAGCTGCCATCCTTCGGGGCTTTTTTGTACATTGTTTTCTCCCCCTTGGAAGTGGTGTTCACCAAGTTGCTTGCTTTCCAGGCTATTGCCAGTCATTAGGTGAAGCTTTCGTAATCTCTTTCCTCCCACCAGCGATGGGCCACTTGTTAGCTTGTTCAGTCTTTCGCACTGGGCTGGGGGCTCCTTGAGCAGGGACCAGGCCTGATTCATCACTAGGACAGCTCCCCCGACAGGGCCTCAGTCCCCTGCTGGGCTGGGTGTACTACGTCTCCTCACACTCAGGTCTACAGAGTAACCTGCGCACCCCTGTGGCCTCCTTCAGTCGCTTCCGGCATCCTCCCCATGCCCCCCAGCAGCTCGGTTCCAGCCTCTGGGGCTTCCTTTGCTGCCACAGTCGCTCCTAAACCCTGCTGCTCAGACTTGCCTGCTCTCCCATCACCCAGGGTAAGAAGTACAAGCCCCTGGATCTGCGACCCAAGAAGACACGTGCCATGCGCCGCCGGCTGAACAAGCACGAGGAGAACCTGAAGACCAAGAAGCAGCAGCGGAAGGAGCGGCTGTACCCGCTGCGGAAGTATGCAGTCAAAGCCTGAGCACTGGCGTCAATAAAACACAGACAAACTGGCTGGTGTTGCTTTGTGTTTGCGGGCGTTTCGACTGACCCAGCTGGAGAGGTGGGCTGCTATGCCCTGGTGGGGGGCCGTGACAGTCCTGGCCACGGGGATCTGGTGGGTGCTCTGTTGTGGTTGGTTTGGGGGCTGTGATGTGGAAGTGCCCTCACTGTCCTTTCATGAGTTCATTCCGCCAGGTTGCATGGGCCCTGGGCAGGGAGAGACGGGCTTGAGATCTGAGAACCATTGTGATGTTATATCCGAGAGGCTCTGGGTGATTTGATCGAGCAGTGGACTTGGCATCTTGCCTGGTCAGCAGCTCCAGACACTAAGAGTTTCCCATCTGGGGTGAAGGCACAGGCATGGGCCACATCCAGGACTCCCTGCCGAAAGCATTTCACTTTCGGGGTGCATGTCCTGCCTGCCCCCAGCCTCCCCTGGCAGACCTTTTACTACGCCCACAGGCCTTACCTTCAGGGTCTGAATGCATTTTCCTGTGTTGCAGTCCCAGACTTTGACCTGGAAATAAAACAAGCAGACGGGTGGGGAGACCTCACCCCACAAGTCTGGCATCCTTAAAATCACTTTGGGGTGAGTCCTAGCCAACCTCTTAACCCCTTGGCCTGGGTTTTGTTGTCCGTGAAGTATATTTAACATGCTCAGCAGAATATCTGATGCAAAAACTCAGTGTAGTGCAATTGCCTTTTCCCTGAAGCTATGGTGAGTCTTAAAAATGTCAATGCCGGGGCGCCTGGGTGGCTCAGTTGGTTAAGCGACTGCCTTCGGCTCAGGTCATGATCCTGGAGTCCCGGGATCGAGTCCCGCATCGGGCTCCCTGCTCAGCGGGGGGTCTGCTTCTCCCTCTGACCCTCCCCCCTCTCATGTACTCTCTCTCTCTCATTCTCGCTCTCTCAAATAAATAAATCTTTTTAAAAAAAAAATAATAATGCCAGGGGCACCTGGGTGGTGCAGTTGGTTAAGCCTCTGATTCTTGGTTTGGGCTCAGGGTCATGAGTTCGAGCCCTGCATTGAACTGAGCTGGGAGTCTGCTTGAGATTTTCTCTCTCTGCCTTTCTCCCCTCCCTGCTCCCACGCGCACACTCGAAAAAAAGGAGGCACCTGGGTGGCTCGGTGTGTTAAAACGTCAGCCCTTGGCTTAGGTCATGGTCCCGGGATCCTGGGATTGAGCCCCACATTGGGCTTCCTGCTCAGTGGGGAGTCTGCTTCTCCCTCTGCCCCCTCCCATTAGCTCATGTTCTCGTGTGCATGCTCTCAAAATCTTTACAAAATAAAAATTAAAAAAAAAAGTCAATGCCACAAGCACTTGGGCCAGCACAGAGCTTAGTGCCAGGCACTAGTTACAGAAGTGGTTGGCACCTGGGTTCTGCCCGTGACACCCTCCTATTTAGGGCAAATAGGATGTGGACATTTCTAGACTGCGGAGGGCTCTGCTAAAGGAAGATGTGGGGATAGGAGTTCGCCAGGAGGATGGGCCTGGTGGGGTGGGCTTACCATGTGGGAGTAGCCAGCGCTGGCCAGCTGTGACCCATCAGGGGAGAAAGCGATGCTCTTCACCCAGGTAACATGGCCCTTGAGCTGAACAAGCAGGCTTCTGGTAGAGGGCTTCCAGATGTGGATAGTCTTATCCCAGGAGCCAGAAGCCTGGACAGCAGACAGCTCTAAGCCCATGGGTCTGGAGCCAGAGGGGGCCAGCCTAGAACCCAGGGCAACCCAGCTCACCAGGAGGCCAGATGCCGAGTAGCACAGGCAGCTGATGTTGCCACTGTGGCCCTCCAGCTCTTGGTGGAAGGTCACTGGGGTCCCCATCCGGAGGTCCCAGATGCAGATAGTGGAGTCCCAGGAGCCAGTGGCCTGCAGACGTCTGCTGTGAGCATGAACCAGCCAGCCCATGCCCACCATTGTGGTTCCAGACTCCGAGAAAGCAGGCATTCTGAACCCTGCTGAATTTCCCAGCTTACAGATGAGGGGACAGGCTCAGAAGAGCAGTCACCCAGTCAAGGTCTGGAACCCTAACCACGGCTCAGCCCCAAGCGGGAAAGTGGGTGTGGGCTCCGGGTTCCTTGAGGTAGGGCTGGGCAGAGGTGGTGTGGCTCACCAGGGAGTCTGAGCTGGGTGCGAAGTCACTGCTCTGGATGGAGTCTCGGTGCCCTCCCAAGTGGCGCAGCATCTGCCCAGACTGCAGGAGAGAGCCCTGAGCTTTGGATTTGGAGGGCAGCCCAGAAGTCTTGCGGCGCCGGATTCTAGGCCTCAGATGGGTCACATAAGGCCCTCCTTGAGGGCTGCCTGGGTAATGTGGTGACATGGTCTGGGGAGATGCCAGGGGCCTTGACGGGAGGGGACAGTCCAGGCCGGGGGGACCTCATGGGCAGATGGATTGCCAGCTGTGGGCGTGGGCCATGGGGAAGATGGAACGACCTTTCTGGGCCACTGTCTGGGGTGGGGTGTGTCTCCTCCGGGTCCCAGGTCCCGCTCTGGCCACCCTTCCACACACCTGCACCTCCCAGAGCATCACCCGCCTGTCCCAGCCACCCGATGCCAGCTGCTTTCCGTCAGGGCTGAAGCTGACCGTCTCCACACTCTGCTGGTGACCTGCAGAGACCGGGTTGGAGGCGGGGCAAGGTGGAAGGGGACACAGCGCGGTCTGGCTGCTTGGCTCCCGTCCCATCCTGCTTACTCACCCTTGAGGACACTCAGACACTTAGCTTCTGCTACATCCCACAGCCGGATGGTACAGTCATGGGAGGTGGTGGCAAAAAGGCGGCCATCAGGGGAGAAGCGGCAGAACTTCACGGGGCCTGGAGAAGCAGCCGTGGTCAGGGAACAGGGTGCTGCCCTCCCCTTCTGGCCCTTGCTGACCGGCCCCTGCTAATTTCTCCAGCCTTAGCACCTGCCTTCCCTCTCCTCACTCCCTTCCAACCTTCCAGCCACCTGACAAGCCGAGCTTCCGTGGCTTGGCCTAGAACACCCAACCCTGATTTGCCCATTTGTAAAATCAGTACCAAAAGTGAATGCAGGCGCCTCCCAGAAACTTTTTGAGAGCCCACCCTGGGTTCAGAGTCCCAGCGCTGGACTTCCTGTATTAATAGCATTGGTCAATCTGCCCTGTGATTACCAAAATTTTGTCTCAATTATAGTAGTTACATCTACTGAGTCCTTACTGGGTGCTAGGCCCTTGGCTTGCCTTATCTCGTCCCATAGGGTAGCAACTATCCCTAACTATCCCTATTCTAAAGAGAAGGGAAATAGAGGCTCAGGTGACATGACTTATGATCACAGTCAAAAAAGTGGTTAAACATAGATGAACCTTAAGGGACATTATGCTAAGTGAAATAAGCAAGTCACAAAAAGGAATACTGTATGATTCTACTTAGACAAGGTACTTAAATTCATTGAGACAGAAAGAATGGTGGTTGCCAGGGGCTGGGGCAAGGGAGGAATGGGGAGTTTAATGGGTATAGAGTTTACGTTTTGCAAGATGAAGAGTTCTGGAGACAAGTTGCATAATGAACATACCTAACACTACTGAACTGTGCATTTAAAATGGTAATATGTATATTTTTAAACAATTTTTAAAACAGTAGTAGGATTGGGGCACCCGGCTGGCTCAATCAGTAGAGCATGCTACTCTTGATCTCAGGGTCATGAGCTCGAGCCCCATGTTGGGTATAGAGATTATTTAAAAAATTAAAAACAACAACAAAAAACAAAGTAGTAGGATCTGAGTCCAGGTCTGTCGGAGTCAAAGGCCCCAGGGACCAAGTCCTGTGTCCTTGCCCTCCTGCTCCAGCCCTGCCCAGGCTGTCTTGTCCGGATGCCCAGCTCAGATGTCAGAGGTCACTGTGATAGGCTCTGCAGAATGCCAGACAGAACCACAGGCCTCCGTGTCCACATCCAGCCTGAGGAGCCCCACCTGCATGGCCAGTCAGCCTCCACAGCAGCCGCCCGCTCTGGGTCTCCCAGCCATAAACACAGCCATCCTCAGAGGCTGTCAGCAGCCTCTGGCCATCCGGAGAGAAGGAGGAGGAGTTGACCTGGAAGGAGAGCACAAAAGTAGTTCCATCCTGGGGCAAGAAACACCTGTCTGCTCATCCCTGACCCCAGACTCCAGGACTAGCCCTAAACACTGCCCCAGGAACCCCGGGAGGGAGCTTGGACTTCAAGCCTGTCTCTACAACCAGAGCCCAGAATGCAAGAACCACTCTTGTAGTCCGAGGCAAGAACTTGGAGCCCTCTCTGGAATCCTGTAAAACCTGAGCCTGAAGCTCAGGGCCTTCACTGAAGGTAGAGCCTGGAGCCTTCTCTAGAAGAGCCTGGCACCCCAGAGCCAAGAGCCCATTCTAGAGCTGAAGCCTAGAACTAGGAGTTCAAGATCTACTCTAAGCCCTGAGTTCACTTTAAAGCCAAGGTCAAAAGAACACTGGAGTCAACCAGGAGTTTGAGCCCTCTAGAACCAGAGCTTAGAATCTGTAGCCCATTCTGGAGCTGGGGGCCAGAGAATACCAGGCAGAATCAGGAACCACTCTGGACTCAAAGCCAGGAGACTAGAGTCGGCAGAGCCCTACTGGACCTCACCTCCCCGCGGTGCCGGCCGAAGAATTTCACTCTCCCCACGGCCAGCGGCCCTGGGGCCCCGCTATTCATGGGCCCCAGGCCGCCCGGCCCCGTGGGCCGTCTCCTAGGCGGGCGCTGGTTCGGCCCGAGGGCCCTCACTTGGGACAGGGTAGAGGGGATGGAGGAAGTTGTGTACAAGCGGTCTCCATGGCAATCGGGGCGGGGCGCGCAGCCGCCGTAGGGTCTCTGGGAAGCCAAGAGGACAGGTTGGGAGAGATGGTTCTCAGCTCCTGGGAGGTGGGGCCGCGGCGGGCAGAACCACCCGCGGCCCGAATTAGGGACTTCCTCGCCCAGCAGCCGCGAGCCGGACCACGGCGGCCGCTAGAGGGCACCCCAGCCCCACACACCGCGCCTGCCCCAACCCGCGCACGGAGGCGAGCGGTTTGCGGAGCTCCCAGACCCCTTTGAGAGGAGCCAGTTTCCCCATGTGCACAATGGGGTGGTTCATCCCTGCCCCCCCCCCCCGGGGCTTCAGGCTTGAGCCAAGAGCAAGGCCTGGCACATGGTAGGTGCCCCAGGAGAGCCCACCCTGGTGCCAAGACCTCTTTCCTCCTGGAGTGCCCAGCCCTGAGGCTGAACAGCTCCCATGGAGGGGGCTGGAACTGATACCCAGCTCTGCCCTGCAGAATGTGGGGGAACCAGAGGTAGTGTGTGTAAAGCACAGGGCATTAGAAAGTGGGGTCACTTGTTAACATCTTGGCAGCACAAAATGTGGCATCTGAGAATGTGGAGGATGTGGAGGTGGTGGGAGGAGGCCCCAGGAGCTGTCCGGTTCCTTGTTGGATAGTTGAAGCTGAAACCAGGCAAGAATAGGACTTGGTTTCAATGTTCATTTTACAGATGAGGGAACGGAAGCCCTACAAGGTGGGGGGACTTGCCCAAGGTCACTCAGGCAATAGGAAAGGAGCTGGGACTTAGCCCATGTCTGTCTGACTTTGTGGGCCTGTATTAGGACCATCTGCCATGAATTCCAGGGGCCTTCAAGCAGATGCCTAGGTCCCTAACTCCTGGTACATCTGGGAAACTGAGGTTCTGAGGGGGCAGATTTGGCCCAGTCATCCAGCACCTCTATGGCGGAGCTGGGGCCAGGGCCCAGTCCCTTCCCCACAATGGGACAGGGATGGAACAGAGACACCCTCCCTGCTACTGTCCAGTGGATTCCAGGCTCCCTGGGGGTGGGGGTGGGGCAGCTGGGCTTTGGGAGCTTCAAACTCAAGGGTTCCCAGCCGTGACTCACACCCCTCCCCCCCAGACCTCTTGGCCAGACTCTTCTCACGAGATCCACTGTGCTCTTGCTCTATTTTAGGTCCCAGACAGTCAGGCGGGAGATGGGGCGACAATGGTGGCTTTGAGGCAGCCCCACCCCCATCCTAACTCCAGAAGGGCCCAGGTCACGGAGTTGGCTCCTCAAAGACCCATCTCAGTTGGGCCTATAAGGCCACCACGTCATCCCCAGACATGGGTGCGCACACAGCTCCCCAAATGGTCTGGCTCCCCAGGCCCTCTCCCCTCCCTCTGCACAAGCAAACCCTGCCCCCCTCCCCAGGCCCATGCCCCATCTGGCATTTCCCCAGCCAGTTGGTTGTTCCTGCTCTACCTGGAGGGCCCAGAACCACCTAACCTGGCCCAGCCCATCACTCCCAGAGCCCTGTGAAAAGACCTTGTCCACCAGGCCCAGGGACTACTCAGCTGGTAGAGGTAGAGCTGGGGTTAAAATATTTTGGGGGGGGGCGCCTGGGTGGCTCTTGATTTCAGCTCAGGTCATGATCTCAGGGTCGTGAGAGGCCCTATGTCTGGCTCCACGCTGGGCATGGGGCCTGCTTAAGATTCTCTCCCTCTCCCTCTGCCTGCCCCTCCCCCTGCTCGCACGCTCTCTCTTAAAA